TGTGGGTAGCATCCGGGATTAGGATCAGATGTTTATGGGGCTCCTCCATAGGTCTAGAAACAGGCTTCCTGTCCTCGACCACAGCCTATAAAACTATTATAGTATAGATAGCAGCTGTTTCCTACACTCCTTTTGTAAGCTCTCCGTCCCTATTCTGCAACATTAGTCAACTTCTGTCTCCCCCTATTTTATCACCAGACAGCTCCTGCCTCCCCCCATTCTATCATCAGGCAGCTCCTGCCTCCCTTATTCGACCCAGCAGAAAGTTTGGGTACAAAACTATGTTTCCCCCATCACAGCACTCTCTCCCTTACCCCCCAGGACCCCCTCGCTCCACACTGCGTCAGGATCGACTCCCCTTCTGAATTTTTAGACAAATGTTTGACATTCCGAAGCGTTCAAAACAGATTATATATTGGTGTTTTTGTTTTCTATTTGTCTGTGAGTGTACTCACCTATTTGTACTCACCTATTTGTGCTTGCGGGGGGTTGAGCTTTGGCTCTTTGGTCCCGCCTCTCAACCGTCAATCAACTGGTGTATAGATTCCTGAGCCTACTGGGCTCTATCATATCTACATTTGAAACTGTGTATGGAGTCAGCCTCCACCACATCACTTCCTAGTGCATTCCATTTATTAACTACTCTGACACTGAAAAAAATTCTTTCTAACGTCTCTGTGGCTCATCTGGGTACTAAGTTTCTACCTGTGTCCCCTTGTTCGTGTCCCACCCGTGCTGAAGAGTTTGTCTTTGTCCACCCTGTCAATTCTCCTGACAATTTTGTAGGTGGTTATCATGTCTCCCCTTACTCTTCTGTTTTCCAGGGATGTGAGGTTCAGCTCCTTTAGCCTTTCCTCGTAGCTCAATCCTCTCAGTTCCGGGGCGAGCCTGGTGGCATACCGCTGAATCTTCTCTAACTTTGTCTTGTGTTTAACTAGGTATGGACTCCAGGCTGGAGCTGCATACTCCAGGATTGGTCTGACATAAGTGTGTACTTACCTATCAATGACGGGGCGTGATCAGAATGGGGCGTGAGGTTAAGCTCTTTGCCTCCGTCTGTTAACCTCGAGTACCTTCCTTCAATGTAGACTACTGTTCATAGGGCCAAGTATGAGTAACCATCACGCGAGTTCTGGACACACTGTGTAACATGTCATGTGGTCTTGGGAGGCTACATGTATCTAAATGTATTAGTGAAAAAAATGGGTTCTGAACAAACACATTCTCTGCACTCACTCTAATCCTTCCCTACCCTCATTCACTCCTCCCCCATCGTCTCATATTCATCTCATACTCATCTGCTTCATTCACTCACCCAAGCACAAACACACACACACACACACACACACACACACACACACACACACACACACACACACACACACACACACACACACACACACACACACACACACACACACACACACACACACACACACACACACACACACACACACACATGGAGTCCCCATCTGAAGAAGCATATAATGAAACTGGAAAAGGTTCAGAGGTTTGCAACGAGACTCGTCCCAGAGCTACGAGGGATGGGGTATGAGGAGCGCCTGAGGGAACTGTGCCTTACGACACTAGAAAGAAGAAGGGAGAGGGGGGACATGATAGGAACGTATAAGATACTCAGAGGGATTGACAGAGTGGACATAGACGAAATGTTCACACGGAATAGTAACAGAACGAGGGGACATGGATGGAAGCTTGAAACTCAGATGAGTCACAGAGATGTTAGGAAGTTTTCTTTTAGCGTGAGAGTAGTGGGAAAATGGAATGCACTTCAGGAACAGGTTGTGGAAGCAAATACTATTCATAATTTTAAAACCAGGTATGATAGGGAAATGGGACAGGAGTCATTGCTGTAAACAACCGATGCTCGAAAGGCGGGATCCAAGAGTCAATGCTCGATCCTGCAGACACAACTAGGTGAGTACAACTAGGTGAGAACACACACACACACACACACACACACATACACACACACACAGGGTGGGGGGGGTGCGGACAGCATGCTGGACGCATGATCCTGTGGTCCCGGGTTCGATTCCGGGCGCCGGCGAGAAACAATGGGCAGACTTTCTTTCACAACAACCCTTTTACACAAAGGGTTGGCTTTTACACAACCCCCCCCCCCTCCCAGCATGGCAGGGGAATGGGAGTTGTGTAAAAGCCTGGTTTGTGCCTCGGAGAGCCTACGGGATCCAGTAAGTTCAGTAGAACTTCGGTTTCAACCCTTTTAACCCTGTCGTAGCTCAGTCGATTAAGGCAGTGTCTGGGATGCTCACGGACGCAGGTTCGAATCCTCGTCACGGCCCTTGTGGATTTGATCATTTGATGCATCACGTTAGTGTGATCTCTGTGTGTGATCTAATCTAGGAGTTGATATCACACCAAACCTGTCTCCTGAAGCCCACATAAAAAGAATTACGTCTGCGGCATATGCGTGACTGGCTAACATCGGAACAGCGTTCAGGAACCTGTGTAAGGAATCATTCAGAATCTTGTACACCACATATGTAAGACCATTCCTGGAGTATGCGGCCCCAGCATGGAGCCCGTTCCTTGTCAAGCACAAGACGAAGCTGGAAAAAGTCCAAAGGTATGCCACTAGACTAGTCCCAGAACTAAGAGGCATGAGTTACGAGGAAAGGCTGCGGGAAATGCATCTTACGACACTGGAAGACAGAAGAGTAAGGGGAGACACCATCACAACCTACAAAATCCTCAGGGGAATCGACCGGGTAAACAAGGATAAACTATTCAACACTGGTGGTACGCGAACAAGGGGACACAGGTGGAAACTGAGTACCCAAATGAGCCACAGGGACGTTAGAAAGAACTTTTTCAGTGTCAGAGTAGTTAACAGGTGGAATGTATCGGGGCAGTAATGTGGTGGAGGCTGACTCCATACACAGTTTTAAATGTAGATATGATAGAGCCCAGTAGGCTCAGGAATCTGTACACCAGTTGATTGACGGTTGAGAGGCGGGACCAAAGAGGCAAAGCTCAACCCCCCCCGCAAGCACAATTAGGTGAGTACAATTTGGTAAGTACTAACTCACGCACTCCAGAAGATTACATGACCCATTGAGGTTCCATATTTTTAATTATGAACAGTTCCATATGAGTGAAATACGAGCACTTTGCACTTGGGTGTGTCCATCTTCCCCACTCTCTCTCTATCCCTATCCCTGTTACCATTCCTTTCCTTTGCTCCTCTCCCACTCTATCCATAAAACCATCCATTTTCACCATCCACCTTCCTCTTTAACCTGGCTCTCCCTCTCTCACGCCCCTATGCATGCTATTCATAGTGATTTAATTGATTCATAGCATATACATATTATTAGGTTGAAGGAAATGTGCTCAACCATTTCTGTCTCGCCTGCAAATCGAACTCGGGATCCCCGAGTGTGAGTTGAGAGCGAAGCCAACTGTACCACGAGACCCCAGAATAGGAATCTGTACCAGCATGTCAACTGTGTTAAATGTTGCACTACGTGACCTTTAATTGTTGTTTCTATAAGGCTTACGACAATTGACGGTAAATTGGTTGGCCGATATATACAAGGAGTAACCTTGTTTCCCTTTGCAGGCGATGAGTCACAATAACGTGGCTGAAGTATGTTGACCAGACCACACACTAGAAGTTGAAGGGACGACGACGTTTCGGTCCGTCCTGGACCATTCACAATCGACTTGAGAATGGTCCAGGACGGACCGAAACGTCGTCGTCCCTTCAACTTCTAGTGTGTGGTCTGGTCAACTTGTTTCCCTTTGTGTTTGTGGGTCATTTGTCCAGTTTAACTCTTGTTTAGTTGTTGTCGTCTCGCGTGACGCTTAAAAATTGTGATCACAATTATATTTTTAACTCTTTTATATGTCAATGGGTCCCAGTAGTAGAGTCGGGTTCGTTCTCAACTCTCAAGAATTCCGGGTTCGAATCCCAAGCGGGACAGAAATGGTTGGGCGCATTTCCTATCACCTGATGCTGCTGTTCACCTAGCAGTAACTAGATACTCAGGAGTTAGTCGGCTTGTTGTGGGGTTGCATCCTGGGCGGGGTCAGTAATGCGACTTTGGGAGGGGGGGGGCTTGATATAAGCCTAATGTGTATGACTACACTCTGGCTGCCTGTCCCCCGAACCAATGAATTATTAATTATATATTTTCGAATGAAACTTTTCTGGGCCCGCTGTTGCTTTTAGATTCAGCTACTGGAACAAAATTAGCATGTAGCACGGGCTATGGCGAGCTCTACCCTCACTTATAAGTTTACTATGTCGTACTTGTATGTCATACATGTATGGTGAGTCCGTACCCGCTGTTGTTGATATTGTTGTTTTAGATTCAGTTACTCAGAACAAAAAGTTCCAAGTAGCACGGGCTATGGCGATCCCGTAGTGGACTTACCTGGCACATGAGTGGGGCTGTAACTGTACCCACTGTTTGTTGTTGTTGTTGTTTTAGATTCAGCTGCTCAAAACAAAAAGTTCCAAGTAGCACGGGCTATGGTGAGTCCGTAAGTGGAGGCTTTTTGGAGACATTATCTGTATCAATGGCTGATACTAGAGATCTGGGGATGGGGTCCGTGGACGCGCCAATCCAATCCAATTCGCTGACCCCTTCCAAGTGCTATATAGTCGTGATGGTTTGGCGCTTCTCCTGATAATTACCTTACCTTCACAGCTGAGTGTCACAGGAGTCAGCAGGGCTGTCGTCAGAGCTGACCACAGTTGGCCGGTCTAGGAGAAAGATGTCCAGGTGTTCCAGGAGGATTTTGGCAGTCTGGTCGAGTTTCCTTCTTTAAGGTGCTGTAGTCGCAAAGATGATCGAGGCATTCTTGAAGGACGACCATGCGAAGGATCCGGCCTGCTTCCCTGTACTTTTATTCCCAGTAGTCGTTGGAGATAATTGAGTTATGCTGTCTGTCCTCCTTGGAACGTAAACGGCCACGTTCTATATACCTGGAGGCGGCCGCATGGGAGCCAATCAGTGTGGTTGGTGCCGGTGCGGGATCTGGAGGGGCAGAAGGTGCCCGGGCGACTCCATGAGGGGCAGAAGGTGCCCGGGCAACCGCATGAGGGGCAGAAGGTGCCCGGGCGACTGCATGAGGGGCAGAAGGTGCCCGGGCGACCGCATGAGGGGCAGAAGGTGCCCGGGCGACCGCATGAGGGGCAGAAGGTGCCCGGGCGACCGCATGAGGGGCAGAAGGTGCCCGGGCGACTCCATGAGGGGCAGAAGGTGCCCGGGCAACCGCATGAGGGGCAGAAGGTGCTCGGGCGACTGCATGTGGGGCAGAAGGTGCCCGGGCGACCGCATGAGGGGCAGAAGGTGCCCGGGCGACCGCATGAGGGGCAGAAGGTGCCCGGGCGACCGCATGAGGGGCAGAAGGTGCCCAGGCGACCGCATGAGGGGCAGAAGGTGCCCGGGCGACCGCATGAGGGGCAGAAGGTGCCCGGGCGACCGCATGAGGGGCAGAAGGTGCCCGGGCGACCGCATGAGGGGCAGAAGGTGCCCGGGCGACCGCATGAGGGGCAGAAGGTGCCCGGGCGACCGCATGAGGGGCAGAAGGTACCCGGGCGACCGCATGAGGGGCAGAAGGTGCCCGGGCGACTCCATGAGGGGCAGAAGGTGCCCGGGCAACCGCATGAGGGGCAGAAGGTGCCCGGGCGACTGCATGAGGAGCAGAAGGTGCCCGGGCGACTGCATGAGGGGCAGAAGGTGCCCGGGCGACCCCATGAGGGGCAGAAGGTGCCCGGGCGACCGCGTGAGGGGCAGAAGGTGCCCGGGAGACCGCATGAGGGGCGGGAGAGCCGGTGACATCGACTAAAGCATGAGAGTCGGTAGAGTAATCGTGGTCGGCATCCTTGGGTTTGTCTTCAGAATCGGTCAAGTCTTCGGAGTCGGCCTCGTCATTCTGGTCAGCTCTCCTGGGGGTTGCTGCCGTCCCTGTCAGTGGGACAAGCTCGAGTCACTGTGGCCAGACGGTCGGGGCTCCCTTGGGGTCGGCTCAGGGATCCCCGGGGCGGAGGGTCCATTAGCAGTTGTGGAAGCTGGAAGAAGGTCATCGGGTACAGCTGTTGTCGGAAGTCCATTCACGACGAGAAGCGTGTTGATGACGTGGATGTTGCGTGACCAAGCGTTCCTTGGTCACTTGGGTGAGTGGTATGGTGATTCCTGTGCACTTAAGTTCGTAGTAGGTTGCGTGGGTCGCTGCGATGACCGTGGTGAAGGTTACCTTCAGTGTTGGTCTGCAGTTGACTTCAGCATTGGAGATGGTCTTGACCGCGACCGCTGTCAGCGTCGGGGTCAAGTGATTCATTAACGATCCGTCGTTAATGCTGGCGAGGCTGTCGTCGTCGTCGCGGTCGGTGATCCATGCGCTGATATTGCTGTCGAACACAGTCCTGTCCGCCAGGGAGCGTTGTGGTGGTTTGAGGGTGATGATGGCGTCTTGCAGGGTGGTCGTGGCGGTGGTGGTGAATATCTTCTCAAGGTCCGAATCTCTGTAGAAGAGCAGGTGAACACCCTCCCCTGTCTCCAGGATGTCGGCCGGTGAGACGTTGACGGTGGCGGAGATTTGTGTTAAGATCTCAGCGGTGGAGAGAACGAGGGTTCTCCCTGAGGAGAACCTTGACCCAATGCAACATGGTGCAGGTGGGTCCTGGACCATAGGAGCTTGGGTCGGCAGCAAAGATAGATTTTGGAGTGAATGTGATGTGAAGTTGCCTGTTTCACAAAGTGTGATACCCGCTCTTTTGTGCATGCCTTATATTGTACTACTAGGCGAGGTACCCAGCGCTGTCCGGGTTAACCCCAAAAAGCTGTGCCATGTAAGGAGTTCATAGAAAGCAAATTGACCATCAGAACACACTTTTATTTTCCTATATCTTTTTGCCCTTCGCTGACTTTATCTGGCCCTTAAAGTTGGGCAAGGAGGCCGACCACGACCACCAGTCACCCTGCAAGGTTTATTGAGGCTAGCCCTAAGTGTCCGCCCACCATCCATGGACCGACAGACAACCTATTTTATGGACACTGATAATAGCATCATAGCAAAAAGGCATTTTAAGGGGATCTTGTAGTACAGTTGGCTTCGTTCTTGACTCTCAATCTGGAATCCTGGGATCACAGGAAAGTCACAGACCTCAAGAGGATGGAAGACAGGATAGGTGACATCGATGCTCACGACGCTTTTTATCTCCTCACTAGCTGGATGCCTATCCCTTCTGAGGCTACCTTGAGGTTACCTTGAGGTGCTTCCGGGGCTTAGCGTCCCCGCGGCCCGGTCGTCAACCAGGCCTCCTGGTTGCTGGACTGATCAACCAGGCTGTTAGACGGGGCTGCTCGCAGCCTGACGTATGAGTCACAGCCTGGTTGATCAGGTATCCACAACCTACTTTCTGAGGTGCACCCCATCCTTAAACACCCCAAAGCTTGAATAGTATGACTTGCTACTGAAGATCATACTAAAAAAAGTTGTCAACCTTTCCCTCAAGGATTGTCAGTGAAAACAAGCCACTCTTCCAGTCAGGCTCGGCGGCCTTCATGTCCGCACCGCCACCCAAACGGCTGTCCCACCCTTCAGTGTTTCCTCCTCAGCATCAGATGACCTGGTCAAGGAAATTCTACCAGACAACCTGAGTGATTCAACGGGGATACATAACCCCCATCTACATAGACTATACTTGCGTATCCACCTTGGCAGCCATATTCATCAACTTTTCTGTCAGCCAAGCAAGAGCTGCGGCCACACACAGAGAAAGAGACAAATCAACCAAGTACAGGGAAATAGATCAACAGTACAACTTCGTTCCAATAGGATCAGAGACCCTGGGTTCGTGTGAAGAGAATGCAAGGAGGTTTCTTAAGGATTTTGTTCTCACAATTTATCCTCTCAAATACCACATCGCATTTTGACGTCAAAATTCCCAATGGACAAAATATGATGTGTAATAAATAATTCCCATTTTCGATACACGAGTTCTTGGTTAGGTTAGGTTAATTTAGATTGGAGTGTTTTAAGTTAGATTAGGTTAGGTTCAGGTGTTTTAGATTAGGTTAGGTTCAGGTCTTTTAGATCAGGTTAGGTTCGGGTGTTTTAGGTTAGGTTTGGGTGCTTTAAGTTAGATTAGGTTAGGTTCGGGTGTGTTAGCTTAGGTTTGGATGTTTCAGGTTAGGTTCGGGTATTTTAGGTTAGGTTCGAATTTTGTAAAACACTATTTTCTGTCCGTTGTGGCAGTTGGAGAGGACGGGTCGCTTCATAACTGTTTACCCTCATCCGATCAGTGGGACTTTATCTAATTTGTTCGAAAACCTTATATCTAATTTCCAAACTACTTTGGTATAGCGTATATTTGCGTTCGCGTTTACCAGTGGAACGTGAAACCTTCCTGCTTATACACACTTGAAAATTCCTCTAATTATTTAGTTCCAGTTTAATTGTGAAAGTGCGTGACGCAATTTAGAAAAATTTGCATGTTTAAAAATCCGAAAGTTTTACAGCGAGCACCTGGAGGCTGCCCTTCCCCCCCCCCCCCCCTCCCACACTACACCCCCACACACCAGCCCTAAAAAGTACTGAATCAAGCTGAACTTTAGAAACATTTGGATTTTTTTTTGTGCTGTTGTTGGTGCAGCAATAATTGGTATTTTCACAGTACCCAGAGAAGGGAATTACAACCTTGTGTTTATACAGGAGAATGTTATAGATTCGCAGTGTCTATCTAACAGGACCATATGTTATAGGTTTGTTGAGTGTCCATTTATATGGTTAAGCTGTCGTTAAAGTTTCGTAGAGTGTATATTTATATAGAAATCCAGATTACAGACTCGTTAAATATCCATTTAAAGGGCCCGCCGAGGTTATAGACTAATTGGGTGTTCATTTATATACGATCGATATGTAAATGGACAAATTCCTGCATTTCAGTGATTCTCAGTTGGACTGTTATTTGTAGACCAAACTATCATAGTTGTGAAGCATCTCTTTGTCCTAGCAATTCTATAAGTACCTGGTGGGTTTACCAGTAAGTTGCTCGGCTATTTGTTCATGAATAATTTCATTTGTAAGTGGTGTAATGTTCAAATGTTTTCAAGAAAGAAAGACAGGCAGACAGAGACAAATGTGGATAAATAGACAGTGAGACTGACGTAGATACACAGAGATAGAGACAGGCTTAGATACACTGAGAGAGACAGATGGGCAGACAGACACATTCACTCATACTATTTCCTGCATCCAACCTGTACTACTTGGTAAATTATAATGGCACTCGCTTAATAAATTTTTAACTTCTCTTTAAAATACACATTGAAAAAATATATATTAAAATATATTGTTTAAGTGCTGCAGTGTAGACAACTTCTTACAGTGTAGAACACCTCTTGCAGTGTAGACAACCTCTTGCAGTGTAGACAACCTCTTGCAGTGTAGACAACTTCTTACAGTGTAGAACACCTCTTGCAGTGTAGACAACCTCTTGCAGTGTAGACAACCTCTTGCAGTGTAGACAACCTCTTGCAGTGTATACAACCTCTTGCAGTGTAGACAACCTCTTGCAGTGTAGACAACCTCTTGCAGTGTAAACAACCTCTTGCAGTGATACAGTGTAGACAACCTCTTGCAGTGTAAACAACCTCTTGCAGTGTAGACAACCTCTTGCAGTGTATACAACCTCTTGCAGTGTAGACAACCTCTTGCAGTGTAGACAACCTCTTGCAGTGTAAACAACCTCTTGCAGTGATACAGTGTAGACAACCTCTTGCAGTGTAGACAACCTCTTGCAGTGTAGACAACCTCTTGCAGTGTAGACAACCTCTTGCAGTGTATACAACCTCTTGCAGTGTAGACAACCTCTTGCAGTGTAGACAACCTCTTGCAGTGTAAACAACCTCTTGCAGTGATACAGTGTAGACAACCTCTTGCAGTGTAAACAACCTCTTGCAGTGTAGACAACCTCTTGCAGTGTAGACAACCTCTTGCAGTGTATACAACCTCTTGCAGTGTAGACAACCTCTTGCAGTGTAGACAACCTCTTGCAGTGTAAACAACCTCTTGCAGTGATACAGTGTAGACAACCTCTTGCAGTGTAAACAACCTCTTGCAGTGATACAGTGTAGACAACCTCTTGCAGTGTAGACAACATCTTGCAGTGTAGACAACCTCTTGCAGTGTATACAACCTCTTGCAGTGTAGACAACCTCTTGCAGTGTAGACAACCTCTTGCAGTGTAAACAACCTCTTGCAGTGATACAGTGTAGACAACCTCTTGCAGTGTAAACAACCTCTTGCGGTGTAGACAACCTCTTGCAGTGTAGACAACCTCTTGCAGTGTATACAACCTCTTGCAGTGTAGACAACCTCTTGCAGTGTAGACAACCTCTTGCAGTGTAAACAACCTCTTGCAGTGATACAGTGTAGACAACCTCTTGCAGTGTAAACAACCTCTTGCAGTGATACAGTGTAGACAACCTCTTGCAGTGTAGACAACCTCTTGCAGTGTAGACAACCTCTTGCAGTGTAGACAACCTCTTGCAGTGTAGACAACCTCTTGCAGTGTAGACAACCTCTTGCAGTGTAGACAACCTCTTGCAGTGTGGACAACCTCTTGCAGTGTAGACAACCTCTTGCAGTGTATACAACCTCTTGCAGTGTAGACAACCTCTTGCAGTGTAGACAACCTCTTGCAGTGTATACAACCTCTTGCAGTGTAGACAACCTCTTGCAGTGTAGACAACCTCTTGCAGTGTAGACAACCTCTTGCAGTGTAGACAACCTCTTGCAGTGTAGACAACCTCTTGCAGTGTATACAACCTCTTGC